AAAAAAAATCAATATAGATCTCAAAATTGAGGAAGTAAGAAGGTGATAGTCGAAATTGAATTAAAAGAGAACAGAAATTTGCAGATGTGTTTGCTGTGGTCACCTACGATTCAGAAGCCGAATGTTATCGTTTGTGGATTTATTCGGAAGAAACCGTTCCCGCTTATGGACCAGCGCTTCCACGTCCCAATGTTTTTCATGATGCACAAAAATTTCGTGAATTTCTGCTAACAAAATGTAAGAAAACCTGGAAAATTTAAGAAAACTGTAAAAGAAACTCGAGTCTTTTTTTTGCCTAATGCTTTGAAATTATTAGCAAAGGCCGTGAAATTTGTGTGGAATGACGATTTTTCGGTTTACAGTCTTTTGGCGCTGGACTGTAATACAAATTTTCCCTTTTTTCAAGAAAAGCGTAAATGCCCTTGACTTCCTAGATGATCAAAAGCTTCTAAAGATAATTTTGCAGTGATAAATGCCGAAAAAGCGGCATTTCAAGCAAAAGTATTTGTGGAGAAACGACGCAACACAATGGATGCTATGATTAAGGACATGTATATTGAGCATATGAAAGAAATTAATAAAGTGGTAGGCCTTTCTTCACCGCCTCCAGTAACTAATCTTCGAAAATTCATGAGAAAAGTATTGAATATTTGTTGGCGTTGAAGGTCTCGTCCGTTGGCCTGGTGCTCCGGTGCCTCCTCGGATCGTTGATTCTTTGATGCTGATTTGGGCTAAGAGGGTCCGTGTCCTTCGTTGGTCATTGGGGCCATTAGCAAAACACAACATATTAACATTTTCCCGAGGGTAATTTTTCCTATCAAGAACCATTTTGATTAGTAAAACTCCAAAAGTATTACTTAGATCGTCGTCCGGGCAAATCACTGTGAGTATTCCATGTTAATGATGTTACTGGGATATTTCTACAGGCCGAGCGCAGCAGTGCCAGATTTTTTTTTGGTCCACATCCCCGGCGGGTATCTTTTCCCTCCCCGTGTTTTGCATCTCGACTTCTAAAAATTTATCTTACTCACTTTATCTTACTCACTTGAGCAGCGTTCGTTGTCACAGAAAATTCATCATAAGATAATCAAAAAAGTCCTTACAGTCTGTTTCTGTGTACTGGGCTTGACGTGAATATTTGCAACAGTAATATGCATTATTATTTAGGGGATTTGCAAAATTACGGATAACGTTATTCAAAAGTTACGCAGTCCAGTGAAGAAGGACAAGCCAAGAGAGCTGACGGATTTTTGCAAATTCGGAGAGCTGATCAAGCTGGAGAAAATGCTCTGCGGTGATATTTCACAAACAATTAAAGCTACAGCTCGAAAACGAGTTCGGATTTACCTGCTTTTATAAGTGTTTTTTTACAGAAACTGCACTTTGCACAGATTTCATCCATAGACGGTCCAAGTGGGGAACAGTGGGTCTTTTGCCCCCACCCCTTACGGCACAGGTACCAGTGCTACAAAAGGCTAAAATTAAGGTAAACTAAAGCCTAAATTAACTCTAAGTAGCAGTGTGTTACAACTCTGCTCCTAGTTTTTGCACAGTTTCAGGATGCCAGGGAACTTTCCTCCCTCCACCTTCCCCCATCCCCCTCCACCCCGAGAGTCCGTCCTGGATCAGCCTATGATCTCATCTATCTGTGGTATTCGTATTTGTGGCATTTTCAGTGTTGAAACGACCAGTGAACATGAGAAAAAATTGCTTCTTAAGGCGCTGGAATGAGCAATTTTAACCCCAAAATTAAAAAAAAAAAAAAAACTACGTACTGGCATAGTGCCCGACACCAATTCAAACACTGATTTTGGCGCCATGTTGCAAACACAGTGCGAATTACAAGTTGTAACGAGCTGCAGACGGCCTATCAAATTTTTACGCCCATCTTTAGGGGCCAAGCTGTGAAAATGCCGCGGCTCAAGATTGCATGCAATCATCTCGAGACCGCTCTTCACTTTTACAGCTGTAATGGTTGAAATTTTGAGAAGATATTCGTTCATTCTTTTATTACTTAATTTCAAATTGAACCCACAGATATGCATGGTACACACGTACGGGCACGTGAAAATTTTTGTAGAAAAATTGACTCGCTGAACAGCTAGGTCATCTTCAGTGAACAACAGTTTAGGAAAAATTATTCTTTTTCCTGTGTGCAAAACCTATGATGATTTGCGCTAACGAGTAGACAAGCTAAAAGTAAAGAAACA